TGTATCTGGTAGAATAAGACGCACAAGTATATACAGCAAATATTGGACATATGGTATGCAGATTAGACAACGCCAGACTAATGAAATGGTAATAAAAAGTGAAATGTCTCATTTCTTTTATTAATTTAAGTATATACCCATAAAATTGACCTATTTAAAACTTACAACTTTATTTGCACAGGAAAGTTTATATAATTTGTATATTCACAACTTTTCATACTATTCTGAAGTCAACACCAGTTAAATATATCAGACCAAGTGTAATGAATTTGATCTTGTACAGAAAAAATCAAGATTGAAAAATGCTGATAACCTGTTTCTGATTGGTCAGAATTCATCTATAAGATAAGTTTATAAGTTGTTCTGGACCAAATACAACAGTAATTCTGTTTCAAAGATACCGAGCTTACGTGTTGAATTTAGGTTAGCTTTTTTATTTTTGGTTCACTTGTAATTGATTTTATCGTAGTTGGTTTGGCATAGATTCATCTTGAAGGACAGAAACCTGAGAAGGTATTCACTAATCCAGGTACGCACATTTGTTGTTGTCGTGTCTAAATAAAATATTTTTCATTATCTCAAGAACCTTAGTCAAATTATCAAACATAGATGATTCTTTTTAACTTTTGTTTGAATCTGCTGTTATTAGCGGATTTATCTACCTGATACTTGCCTGGAAATACGTTCATCTGAAAATACCAGAGCGAAAGGACTTTATAAATGCAGGGAAAAGAGGTTGTGTTTTGGTCGGTACTAAATACCTATAGTGTGTAAATCAAATAAATCAAGGATTCATTGCCATGTAGTCATATTAAGCTATTGTATTTTATTTATTCTTTAGTTTAATTTATTTTGTTTTTATAACTTAAGCATTTCAAGAACCTTAATATTAACATAAAGTAGTTGAAATTAATTTGACCTTCCCTTTACTAATCGGCAAAATGACGTCATATTGTAACGTAGTCCTCGCCCTCTTTATGTAATATTAGGCTTACCATAGTTGGCTTGAAATAACCTCGCGCATTATGTCATTTTGAGGTGGTAGCATCTATTGTGTTTGGTTTGTAGTTGATGTATTTTAGACTAGACCCAGCTTTGGCTTTCCTGAAAGAGACAGGTAAAGTATTTGTGAAATCACTAAATTATGTATATTGTGTTAGTTTCAGTAGTACTTAATTATGTCAAAAGTTAAATAGCTTGGCGTGAATATGATTTTTGACATATTAATCTCAAGTTTTTAGATTGTGATAATTTCAAGTTCAACAAAGTCAAACTAATATTACTATTAGTAGTACTATAAAGTTATATATAAAAATGTGTCAATAATTGTAGGTAAGTCACTAAAAGAAAAAAAAATACAAACTAACAAAGTACTACTACCAGTATATACTACTACAATGTAATTGTTACTTTATATCATAATTTATACTTAACTCTTCAATGCAGGGACAGACAAAGGGCTCTTGGGGAATGACATAGGTTGACCTAGGGGGAGCACTAGTGTTGCATGCCAAATTTGGTTAATTGGTTAAAAACTGTTGACATGAGTATAGCAGACAGAAAGACAGGTACTTCATGGGGAGTGGCGTAGTATGAAACAGATAAAAAAAAAGTTTGAATTTAGTTGAGATTGGTCAAAAATGTAGGCATAAAAAGTAGACACAGAATGGCACTTCTATGTTATATAAATAGATAAAGTAGATATATGTTTTGGATAAACACTTAAACATTGAGATATCTAGGGCCTTTTGGTCCATAAAGGAATAAATGCACTTCTTTCAGTTAATCTTAACTTTTTATCTATTTTAGGGAGGAGAATTTATGTAAATGATAAAACTATTATAATATATATCAGTAAATCACTGACATTTGATCCAAGCTTAAGTCGTCTTATTTTCTTTTAAGAAAATACTGGTAAGAAGTGATCCCATTGAAGTTCACAAGATTCTTTTGCGGATTGATGGGATAAAGACCACAAATGCTATATTATGATGACAGTAGGACAAGGAAACAAAAGTTTAAGATTTGTAAATGATAGGTTAGACTTCAGTAAAGACAGTTTCATTTGTCTAATAGGGTGATTCTTGTAATGAACACATTGCCAGTGATATTATTATTATTAGTGTAGGTCAGCACTCTGTAGGAGTTTAAGATGGTAACTGATAATTTCCTGAAAAATAAAGCAAGTTTAAATTCCTTTTTCATAAGGGTTGGTTTGTAAATATGGTCTTGAAGGACCAAATAGCTCCATTTTGTCTGTGTTATTTTAGAACCTGGTTGAAAATATAGTTTGCAAAAGCACTTTTGCACTAGTGATCATAATATGTGCAACGTTCCCTTTTATGTTTTTGTTGAAATTAGTTGTAGAATTAATAAGAATCATATCATAGTTGTACTTGTAAATTATAAGATACTAAATATATTATAATTATCTTAAAATTTAGCTAAGTAAGAAAAAAGAATTTAAGTTAAAATTATAATTTCTATAATTTGATAGCTGATGGGAGTTTAATACATGAGTAACTTGTTTAAATTTATAATTAGCCATGTGTAACTAGAGGCATTATGAGTATTTAAACTGTGGTACTAGTAAGCATTACTATTAGTTAAGGGATTTTAGTGGTAATCATTAAACTGTGAAATAGCTTAATTTTAGTTAAATATACAGTTATGGTGGGCAGATAGATATTAGAGGATATAGATGAGTTACACTTCATTATGGTAAGAGGTAGTTCAGGGATAAGTGAAATGACCGTTTTAGGATATGATAGATGCTAGGATTGGGGTATATTTGAGAATTGTGGACTTTATTGTGATTTTCAGGAGGCTCAATAAAATAGAGTACACTACACTTGAAGAGCTTACTTGAGAATAAATTAGGAATAGCTTGAAATGAGGAATGAGATGATCAGAAAATGTATTTAATAAGGAACTCTCGTTAACTCTTGATTGCTATTTGTTGTGAGGAGCATGGAAAGAATTGGTGTAGAATTTGCTTACAGGTGCTAAAATGTAGAGTATTATAAAGCATGTTAACAGTTTTTTTTTATGACAGCAAAGAACATTCTCTTTTTGTTGTGCATGTAGGAGAAAATAATGTTAAAGTATAAATTGAATAGCTGCTTAAACAGTATAAAGAACCCCTTCAGAGTTTTAGGGATAGAAATAGATGTATGGCTATTATGAAAATGATCCCTCAGGCTACAGGTATGGGAATGTATTATTTAGAAGGATCAAAGACATAAATAGAAGACTATCAGGAATATTCTTAGGCTGTTTGGACCTGTGGAATAGTTTTCAGGGTAAGGATGGATTATATGCTACATAGGCTTCAGTTAAGCTTGTTTGGTAGTAGGATATGTGGGGAGCTCTAAATATGTTCATCAGAAATAGTTTAAAGTAAACTTGTACAGTGGTGAATGAGATTGGGAAATTAAGGAATACAAAAACTGATAGGACAGCTAGATTATTGAGGAATTTGGAAATGGGATATAAAGAGCATAAGAAGTTAAACAGTAGTTTTAAAGATAACTCTGTCAGATTTAAAGATAAACATAGTAGATTCCAGAATAAGCTTAGTTGCTTATCAGATATTAGGAGTATTAGGAACAAAATGAATGAGTTCAAGGCTATAGTGAAAATGGACTATAATATAATGGGAATTACAGGAACTTTTTATTTTTTAGATTTGGACAATATCAATAATAGGAATCAATTTGAAATTCCAGGTTATAAGTCACTTAGTTGTTATCTACTTTTTAATAGAGACAGTGGTGTAACTATCTATACAAGACATGAACTACAGTCTTTTAGGATTGAAGATAATGGAGATCCCATAGCTAGGCCTTGAGCCTGTTTGTAGATTTTATTGCCAGTTTTAAAGTAAGCATTAGATACACAACAACATGTCGGTCATGATGTCTTAATTTCTTTTTTTTTTCAAGACAGGGTAAGGCATCTTCTATGGGGACTTTGAAAAATTATAAGACTACATCAAAAACAAAGACAAACTGATCATGTGGTTCTTTGTTATTATCTTTAGTTTTGTCCAAAAAATCAATAGAATTTTTTAATTGTGTAAGACTTGGTTAAGTAGGAATGTTTATTCACAGTATATTTTGCAACAATAGGGAAGAGCAGGATTCCTGTGTTGTGTATTTTAGGGGTGGACAGAAGTGAAGTAGAATGAAATGAGAAGGAATCGGTGATTTTTATTCATTGTAAGAGAGTTAAACAGTTTTAATACAGGTTTTTACACAGCTGTTGGATCTTTGTTTATTTGTGGGTGTGAAGTCTCAGTATGTAGTAATAATTTGATGTTATTTAGACAACTTGTCTCCCTTTATTGGTTCTAGTAACTGAAATGTTTTTATTAGTACTAATGGTATGAAGGTGCTTAGCTCAGTGTTACTTAGGTTAGATGATTTTGCAGTTTGTAGGCAACAGAAGTTCCAGTTGTATCTTTTGTAACATTATAAATGTTTAGTTGTTTTATTTTGTCTCTGTAGCAACAACCAATTCTGACTTAACCCTTTACCTACCATGGCCATTTTGTCTTATCGTGAGGGCAAAATCACATTTGTGAATTGAAAAAATTATTGAGAACTTTTATTGGATTTCAGATTTTATTTTTGTAAATATTAGCATAACATTCAATTATTTATATTATTTAATGAAGTTAAAAGAGGAATTTAATGAAAAAAATCCTAGAATACGTTTTAGACTGTAAATAAGTGCCCTCTAAGAAGAAAATTTTTTTTCAAAATTAAAAAACATTTTTTCCTTCTATTTCAGCACTGGTTCTGCCATCTATGATTGGTATCTAAACCTTTTTCTAATCTGTTTCTTTTATAGAACAGCATCTGGGCATTTTAAACCTCAGTTGTAAAACTTTTAGCCAATCCTAGTCAAAGGTGTCAATTTCAGTACCATGTTATTCCAATCGCTGTATTTCACGTTTGACAAATTATAGGATGATAAGGAAAGCACGTGATGAAAAATTGTTCTCTGAATTTTACAATATGAATATGAGTGGTGCATGTTATAGTAACTGCCATTTTATGTAGACGTTGTATTTAGTATTGGCCAATAGTGTTTTTCTATATGCATTAGAAAACTTGCTTCTGGAAAAAACTGCAAAGGGATGTACGTGACTTTTATTTTTATATTGTAGCTTAAGTCATGTTGTATCTTATATCTATTTATATTAATCATTATATTGAAAAATTAACTCAA